GCGGGACGGTTAGTAAAGTAAAAAAAAGAGAGAGATGTGCGGTGGGGGAATAGGGCAGTGACTCACTGACCCACCCAAGGGGAGGGTATTGTTTGTGTCTCCGCAGGGAAAATGGGACCAGACTTAAATCCGGTGTTCTGGGATGTGAATGCCGCATACTGGCATGGAGAAGGCAGCGAGGGGTGGGGCCTGAGGTCTCCGTCCCAATGCCAGCTACGTGGACAACTTCCCCTCCCCGCAAAAGAATTTACTTTAGAGGATGGCACTAAAGCTGCAGCTAGGAGAGAAGGACATGTCTGACCAGAGCACACGGAAGCAAATGAATGGGGAGGAAGAGAGAGCGGAGCACATCCTGGCCCATCAGACCTGGAGGATGATATCCCCACTCTGAACAGCCAATGCTCAGAGTGGACCATGTGGCTGATCCCACTATGAGACATGATGTCTTTCGCTGACCCATGACCTTACAGTGGACAGCAATGCCCTTGTCTGACCCCGTGACACCGAAGCAAAACACTAAATGCTTCCTGCAGAGCAATGGGGAAACAGAGCAGGGAGCTCCCGAGGGAGTAGAAAGGATAGACTTGTGGGCCAGAGTGTAGCATCCCATTGGACTTGTCTAGAAGACATGCCCAGAGGTCAAAAATCAGACCTTGATCTATTTACAGGTTTTTCTTTCTTTAAAAAATTTTTTTAAATTGTTTCTTTTAATATTTTTAAATTCATTTATTCTTCTCTGGGTCATTGGTTTTCTTTTTTGTTGTCATCGTAGTGTTCTCTTTTGTCACTTTGTCTTGCTATGCCTTGTTTTTTGTGCATATTATTATCTATGCAGATCCATTTAGATAAGATAGGCTGGATGAACAGTCTGGAGGAGAAAACAATGGGACTCATGGTTCCCGGTATACATGGGAGAGGGGGAGACAGGGGAAAGGAGGTGGTGTTGACCAACCCAGGGACAAGAGAGCAACAAGTGATCCAAAATTAGTGGCAAGAAGGGAGTGAGAGGCCTGGTAGGGATTCAGCAAAGGCAATGTAACCGAGAGAA